ACTAAAAAACATTCAGTTTTATCATGAGTTTAATTTTCCACGAACCGGTTCACTTTTCACTTCTGGTTTCATGTATATATTTACTATGGGCGGAATACAAATTGTCGGGTGAATTTTTTTTCGGGCAAAACTCAGGATAAGGCAGATTATTAAAAATTATTAACCTTTTCATTTTTTATTTACCTAAATCACCTAATTTACCCACCTAAATTATTTCTAGAAAATACATGACATCCGCGTTCTCATCCGCATCCGCGGATGTTAGCTCTTAAACATCCGCATCCGCATTCGCATCCGCGGATGTCTAAAATTCCACATTCGCAACATCCCTACTACATACATAAGTGTATATTGATAGCCCCCTTATCGATTTCCACCAAACTTGCTCCAATTATTTCAATATCTCATATTATATTATCGAAACTGTTTGACATCGAAAAAAATACTCTTGCTTATCACGCAGTTTATTGAAAAGTGAAAAAACGATATTTAATACGTGCGCCGGGTATATAAAGTGCGGTTTCGCCCGAACTTATACTTCTTTACTTGTTTGTAATATGAATACGCCCCATCATATTCTCAACAGTTTGTAATGAAATTCTATTTCTCTTTTCATATTGGATCAATTTTAAATCTGAAAATATTCGCTCTGCAGCTGCGGAGCTATTTATGAGACAAGTAAAGTAAATTAAAAATGAATGAAGTCAGGTCTTTATACATAGTTCATTTAAAGCATTTTTCTTTAATCTTACTTGGCCCCAAAATGTTTCAGTATTTTTGATCAAATTTTAAAAGCTGCCACTGCATACATACATAAATATTTTCTTTTTAACATGTATCAAAATTTTTACTACGCGAAGAATTTAAGTATCTCGCGAAATGAGCAAAAAAAGTATCTTCCGGAAATATGCACAAACACGTATCACTTTTGAAGTATATGGATCAAATAGGCAACACTGTTTGCAATATCGGAAAAATCCTGACTTATTCCCTTTGGTAACTAACCGATTCATATAGGTATACTTACACACATACTGTGCTATGTCCACACAAAGTACGGACCCTGCAGTGAAATCCCAAACTAGTCAGCAAAAATACTAGTTCACAACTAGAATTTCCTGACAGAAACCGACCTAGTTCGAAAACAACCAGACTTGTACCAGGTACAAAACGATTTATTCATGCCCTGTTTTATTTGACTAAACAAAATATTACAACTTTTATTTGGGTATATTGTAAACCATTAAATCGAGTACGTACTCAATTATACTAGACCTGTTAAATAATAGGGGTCTTCCCTTAAACTCTTAAAAGCCTCGTGAACCTCGTAAAGATCTGTCAAAGTTTGTATGGAGCTCTATTTACGAGCCCCTCGTAAAATTGCGAGGCAAATGTGATTCGCAAATGACCTCGTAAACGTCAGTATTGCCGAGGAGCGGAAAATTATATACTAAAATGTATTTTATAATATTGAAAAAAAAAATGGAAAATAATAATATGTGAATAAAAAGAATGAATTTCATCCACTAACAGTACTAACATGAGTTTTCTGCTAATTTTCGGCATTTTTAATTTTATTTTAGCCAATAGTGATAGAGATAGGGTTGTCAGATTTTGAAACGGAGAAAGGAGTACATTTATATTTTCGATAGAAAAAAAGCAGTACAAGACATAAAAAAGGAGTACATTTTTTTAATTTTTTGTGCAATTTATTGTTGAAATTACCATTAATTAGGTAAAAACAAACAAAGATATCTTAGAAATCTTTTTCAAAGCAAAAATAAATGTTAAAAATAAATAACTAAATGGGTTGGCTTTCCAGTAAGGGCGGTCGTTAAAGAGATGGTGATCGAAGGGGAAGTAGGCGTGTGACTTCCAAACGACCTTTTGTGGAGAGGGCATGCACCGCCATTGACAAAAATATTACTCCCGACCACCTCGGCCTCCTATGGTTTCCTAGGGACTCCTTAGAAAAATTGCCAAAAGTCACAATTTTCACTTGCGTTTTTTCGCTTGAAAAATGCTGAATATTCATTTGCACGGGACATTTTATATACCCTTGCTAACAGAAGAGGTGCCACATGAAACGCACGCAAAAATTCTGTGGACGCAAGCGAATATTGTGATTTATGGCGATTTTTCCAAGGGATACATTTTTCCAAGGGGGTTGCATTTTTGTCAATGGCGATTCATGCCCTCTCCAAAAATGCAAGTTGGAGATGCCCTTTCGCTCACCGCCTCTTCAATGACCGCCCTTATAGGAAAGTTTACCCAACTAAATTCTACGAAAGAATTCTAGACATTTCCTGAATGTATGGATATTTTTTTTAATTTTAGCCTTATAATTGATTTAATATTTTTCTGAATTTTATACCCGAGCGCCCTGCACCTACCTGGCTACGACCATGCTTACATCTTTTCACTATCACACTTAACTTTCCTTACTAAGTAGTGTTTGCCACAATATGAATGGCAAAGTACAGGGCGTAAACTAATAACTGACGCACAGGTTCGGTGAAAAATAAAAGGGTCCTTTATAGATTTTGCGGAAAAAAGTATTTTTGGTTAACTTTGTAAATATTCTACTTTAATTTTATTAACTAGTTTTAAAATTTTAATCCTTATTTGCAATTGTCAGCTTTGGGAG